CTCGTAGGATATAAAAAATATGGGCAGATGCATTCAACGTAATCGTATCTCGCGATTACCTTGGGGACCCAATTTTACCTCGAGCACTGCCCCGGAGAAAACTTTACGAGCGACACCGTAAGGTAGTTTTTCCAGAAGGGGGACAGACCTCCACCCAGCGTGACACCAAATGAAGACTATTTTTTTCATTTTTATTTGTTTCACCAGTGAAACTGTCACAAACTCACTGTCTCCCGGAATGCAACGGTATACTTCAACAGTTGAAATTATAAAAGTGGCTCGCATCAAGTTTTACGCTCATTCAGAATTAGGAAGCCACAAATTTCTCGGACGATAATGTCCAGATGGAAATACTCTGCCATTGTGCAACTGAGTTAGAGTTGATGGTGCTGAAAGTTTAGGCTCTCGACGTAATATCGGTGTGAAAGTTTAGTTTTAACCACCTGCAGAGTAGCAATGGAGATGTTTCCAAAGGTTGGATAGTCCATTTAATTTGGCGAATGCCTGGACAATTCCCTCGAGCCTTTCATTTTCCCCCAACATTGCATTTTAGTTGGTATTTCTCAGAAAAATTTGCATCCACCAGTTGATAATTCCCCATTCTATTTCAATTAAAATTCATTCTCATGATGTAACACTTAATTTTTTAATGTTACGAGTAAATCGTGTCACGAACTGTTAAATCGAAATCGGAGCTGAAGGAGTTCTGACAGCCGGACTTTGGGCACGTTCTGGCGATCGGACGGGTCATCGTTTCGTGATTTATCGTTGCTCAGTGCGACAATTGCACCCAACATACAGCAACTGCTGATAAAGTGCGCCATTTCTGCGCCATCGTGTCTCGAATATATTTCAACCCCGAGAATATGAAAGGGATGCTGATACGCGCTTGGCCCAGTTATTTTTCTTTCTCCTCTGCCTTCATTTTATTTTTCTCATCCCCTGAAAAAGGGAAATACTCCGCTATCGCATTTTCTTTTCGAATAATCGGCACAAGTCGGCTTTTAATGTCGCTCCCTTTACTGCCACGGCAAATTGGCATTTCACTCGAGATATCGAAATTCGCTCTCCGGGGCTTCTGGCTAGATGGGCTTGCGTGTCTCTATGCAATTAGTAGGTACTCTGATAATAATTATCCATCGTCTGTTGGAGAGAGAGGTTGCACTCACTGATGCTTCACGCTCTCATGATTTTCTCGCACGCGTACCTCTAGGTGCGGTATCACCAGCTGTCCATATAATCGCCTTTGCATTCGTCATTATCCTGAGAAAATGCTTCCGCCAATTGAAGCCTTTGTTTTATTGGTTTTTTATTAATCCCAACTCCGTCTACTTCAAGGTTTCACTTGGGTATTTACTATAATTCCGCTAATTCATCTCAATTTACTCTAATTAATTACCATAATTTTCATTCACAATTGAATTATGAAAACTCAATTTCAACTGATAATTCATGAATTAATTTCTTCAATTTCTCTAGTGCACTCCGTAAATTCTGGAAATTTGATTTCCTGTAGTTGAGAATCGATAGAATAATCCGCCGACCATTTAACGCGATAATTTCGCCTTGAAAAATTTCCATTCCCCTCGAACTAGGTTTCTTTAACTGCCGAGTGAAATAACAACAATTCCCAGGGAGTCTCGTTCAAACAATTTTGCATAATTCACCAACTGACGCAATGAATACAAATTCCCGCGAATAAATAGACATGAAAGATGCAAATTGTTAGCTATCCCCCAGCAACTGAAACTGTCTTGAGGATGAGGTGGATAAACAGAGGAAATATTTTCATGACAGGTTTGAAATACACGCCGAGGCAATTATTCAAGTTTTACCCATTCGGTGGTGAATAAATGTCAAATAAAATAAAATATTGAAACGAGGATTAAAAAATCATGTTGAATAACGATAGGCTGCATCTCCACTAGATCTTCCTACCGGCAATTAAATTAATTAGTTGTTAAGTGGCGCTTACTAGGTCGTTAACTACGCCTTGGTCGTCTACGCCGACTCGGTGCATGACATGAATTGGTAATTGTTAACAAAGTCCAAAGACGTACCTTCAATTATTCACAAGCAAAAGTGTTGATTAAATTTTCGGTGTTATAATACCATAATCTCGTCATTCGCCTCCCCACAATTTCGTAATTACTCCCATTAACTTCCAATCAAACAGTTACACAATATTCTTTTCTATTTTTATTTCACAAATATTTTACAATTACTTTTGTTACATAAAATTGGTAAATGCATACACAATAATTCTGCTTTTCCAAGTTCCCCTAAAGTCTGACGTTTGGTGGAGATTCTCCCTTGTAATATTTATTTACCTCAGGGCATGTAAAATCCAAAGAAAAGCCCGCGAATGCCGAAATTACTGGATAGCACGGCTCATGAAGGGGTCTCGAGTGTCGTCATTACAGAACCGCGTTTGTAATTCTAAATTAACGACAGAGTGGAACTAGCGTGTCACTCGCAGAGATAAATTACACTCGGGTGAGGCTGCACCGGTAATCGCAGTGATCTGTCAAGTGCACTGTAATCATCCGACTCAAGATCACTTTTCCCCACCCAAAAAAAAAAAAAAACAACCGAGGATAATCTTACATAAGTACCAAGGATGAATAAAAAATCCGGCAATTCTCCTGCGACGATAACTATTTTTCTCACCTCAAACTCAATTCCTGCAATTGGGTATTTATTTATTTGAGGTTACGATTGTTTAATTTACGATCCAGATAATTTATCAATAATTTTTTAAAAGAGATTGTGAAGGATGAATTGAAATAATTATTTCAATAATTTCAAATACTTATGGGAGTGGAAAAATTCAACGACAAATCATTCGAATGAAATTCTCAACAATACAAATCGCCGGGTGAATGGAATTGTAAAACTAGTATGTCGGAAAGATGTAGAAGTGCCTGTTGCAGACGAGAAAAAGCGAGAAGCCATAAAGCTCTCGACCTGGGGTCGTTTACACAAGGGCTCCCAAAAGGGGAAACTGAAAAACGGACTCAAGTAGAAATGCTCCATAGCTCGAGGAATTTTTTAACACAAGTGACTCTGTTAGTGCCAGCAAGCCCTAGTGTTATGGAAAATGGTTTTGTCCTCGCTCTCTGCTTGCTGGCCGTGGAAATTAACAAAATAATTCACGTTGCGAGAGACTGTTGTGAGAGAAAACGAAAACCCGTTGTTGAGACTCTGCAGGGCTTTTAAATCCCCTTTCCTTCATACATTTCCCTCAATGACTATTTCCACCGACTCATTCCCATCATTCTGATAAATTCCCAACTAATTCGCGATTATCCGGCATTTCTCGACTTCCGGTGGCAATTTTTTCCAAAAAAAAAAACAGCGAAAACCGCGAAAACCGCGAAAATTGCAAGTCAACTCCAAATCTTCTCTCAATCATCGATTTACCCCCAAAACCACGGATTCCACAAAAAAACGCAAGATATCTTTTTTGTACCCAATTAAATTGCCAACAAAAAAGATTCTCTAACATTTCCTCGTAAAATCAATATTTTCCGAGATTAATCGATATTTAGATCCAACGAACTACCGAAAAATCGCGACGCGTTATTGAATGTTTATTCATCCAAAAAAAAAAGAGAAAAATCGCAGTAAATTTTTCCAGCAGTCGATCAAATATTTTCCCCGGTCCCTCCCCAGGTTGATTCGTATTTGACGAGCAAATAACATCGTACACCAGCCACAACTCCATCACGGAAAGCCCCACCGAAATGTTGTGTTAACATCCACCTCTCGTCTCAGATGCATGTCGCATAATTATTTCCCATGTTCGATGAATTTGAATATGTCTGCGCCAACAACTCGCAATTGACTCATCCAATCAACCAGCGATTCGCCGGTGTCCCTCATTTTTCATTGAATTATCCGTACACCACCGACCCTCTCAACTCCACCAGAATATCAAGATTAATGCATGCACCGAGTTGTTGTAATGATACTAAATAGATGAAAAATGTTGGCCTTTTTCCACTTATATACGCATCTGTGTTAGCAGCCGGGGTGTCTGCCACCGAGCAAGATACGTTTCCCCTTGCCATTTATTTTTCCTGACATTGAAGAATGCCCTTTCTTTTGACCCTTTCCACTTTTCCGGAAAAACGAACGCGGTCGATGTCTCACCAATGCGCAAGCCAACCCAGAGTGAACGTGTAACTACAAAATTAGACGTATCGCTAAATAAATAAAAAACATTGCGAAAAGATCGAGTGATTAATCGGCAGGAAATTAATCACACGAGGGAAGTGTATGGGGCATTTCGGTTAAAATTGTTAACACTAGATTGATTAAATTGATAAGATATCTTTATGAATCTGTGGAGTTTAATAAGTCCCGGAAAAGACAAAAATATTTATACCCTGGTGTTTTTGATATTCCAGTTTTCCTGCGTGGATTAAATCTACATTTATTCTTTGTTCACCACGGATTACCATTTTAATCCACGATTCCACCAACCCAAAGTCAATTGTGTGGGTTTAACCGCGTGAATTACCACATGTTGAAGAGCGATTTCAATTGGTTCCAGCGAAAACCGCATCACTAAGATATTTAATTGATTCCAGGGTCTAATTAACTTACAGCGGTTACTGAATTTTGTGTGGATGCCTCATCCAGACACTAGCCTATGATTCTCATAATTAAATAATCAATATCTCATTGTCAAAGTTGATTGACAGTTCGGGATTCCACTCAAATTCCATTTACGATTTCTTTCAACTCCGGGATTCAGCTACACGTGAAAAATGTAAAAAAATTATCTGTCAGTCATCTGACAGAGCCGACGTTTTTAATACCAGTGAATTCTACCTCAGAAAATGCTGTGCATATTTTTTTTTATCAATATTCCCTTCACTTCTATCTGAAATAAAACCAGTTGTTGGGAAAAAAATGAAATTTTACTGACAGTTAATGATAAAAGAATGGAAAATGCAGAGTTAAAAGAGAGACGATTCCATTGATGTTCCCAGGAATTGGAGAGAAGTTACACACTATCGACCCCAGGAGGTGGAAGTCCAGTTTGTTGTCCCCCATGCAGTCCACCACCTGCTCCAGCCGCCTATATATCAAGCATTCGTGCGTCATCGAGGAAATTCGGTGGCAGTGGACCAACATCCCCAGATCGTGATCCAGTTGGTAGACTACTCAGGTAAGTCCCCAAAGCAATAGACACTCGAGATTAACGATACACCCGAACTCAATTCACGCCTTTGACAAAATCTCCAAATAATCAACCCAATAATTCCTTTGATACTCCAGTCAAATCTCCTGAGAATCTCAATTCCTCAGAGAATTCCAACTTCTCCAAACAGCTCCAAATCATGAAAAGTAAAAGGCTGTATCCACCCACATTTTTTCCAGATACTTAAAAATGTATTACCGAGAGCTAGGGACTAGAGATCCACGTCAGCTACCCCCGTGGATTCTTCCTCTGCCCCTGGGCACCCTGTGCCCTGCGCACTTCCAGCCTCACCTCCAGCTGATGCACAAGAGCGATCAAGAGCACAGACTCGAGTCCATAAAGATCGATCAGATATTCTCATCAGTGAGACTGAGCGATGGTTTACTATCAGAGGCACCAAGACGAGTGGCGATCGAGGGTGGTCCAGGTAGTGGCAGAACAACCCTGTGCATGAGACTCCTCCACCAGTGGGCAAGCAAAGAGGATGGTCCAGCTCTTGCCTTCATAATTCCCCTTCGAGAGCTACGTGGCACATCACTCCTCACATATTTAACTCGTGAATTCCTCACTAAATCGGCATCACTCACCGAGGCAATGGCCCAGGTATGGCGCACCCTCCACCTCCTCGAGGATCGAGTCCTCTTCATTCTCGATGGTTACGATGAGTGTCCGGGTGGTAGGCAATCGCTGGCCGATGCCGTTGATCTGTTAGAGGCACGATTATTCCCCGACGCTAGAATAATCGTAACGTGTTCACCAAACAATTGGACAACTCTATCACCAATGGTACAGCGTAGAATCCACTTGGCTGGGCTCGAGTGGAGTCACGTTGAGCGTCTCTGCGTTGCCTATTTCATTCACAATAATTTATCAGAGAGAGCTTGTGATTTTCTCGAGTGCCTCAGCCTACAGTCACAAACGATTAAACAAATCGTTCAGCATCCACTCGGTTGGTTGATGCTGTGCACCCTTTATCAGGATTGTGGTACACTACCTTCACAGCCAAGTGCTGTTGTTCAGGAAGGGGTTAAATCGATAATAAGGAGATGCCTTGACAGGCCATTGACACCAGACGAGGAGCTGCCATCGCACTGCAGGAAACGTCTCGAGGATTTTGGAAAATTGTCACTGGCTGCTCTCAGAGAGGGCAGATGCTGCTACACTGAGTCTGAGATAAGGACACGTGGTGGTGGTGTGGAAATTGTTAGATTTGGATTTTTATCCAGAGGATTCACCTTTGGACAGAGAAGAAAGGTAGAGCAGTACACACCAATTCATACAGCTGTTGCTGAATTTTTCGCTGCGTACTATCTCGCATCGATATCTCAATACGCCAACATCTTGAGAAGGGAAATTGAGGGATTGCCCAGTGGAATAATTGGATATCTTGCTGGATTGCTTGGGCCAAGGACACATCTTGTTCTGAATCAACTGTGTCCACTGGAGGTGCCTTCCAGGACAATTTTCTCATTGCTCAAGGCTGCCGGTACATCTGACGGAAATATTTTAGCTGTCTGCAGACTTCTTGGGGCTGCACCTGGTTTCGGTCCTGTACCTAATGAGAGACCACCAGCTCCACTCGTTCAGACTTCACCTCTTGAGCTAGAGGGATGGGCAAAAATTCTGGGGAGTGATGCCTGCACACTTGAGGCACTCGAAGTTGTCTTTCAGGTGGAGCGAGGCGCTGATCCCACTTGGCTCAATGATTTCTTCAATGCTCTTGCTGATAATGAGAGTGTCAGGCTCGTCAGGATTACCTCGTTGCTGGGCCAGGAGTTCCCTGCTGACGAGGCACAACGACTCGCTGGACACCTCAAGAGCGTTCTCGGGAAAAAGAGACTCAACGATTTCGAACTCGTTATCACTTGCTTGGAAGAGGCTGCGCATGACAGGTTTGTCCTAGCATTGAAATTAATTTTTATTTCGTCGTGCAGATCAGATATTTTTGGTGAAAATTTTTCCTTCATTCGTCGGGCGGAAATGAGGGGATCAGCACTATCTCTTGGTTTATTTCAAAACTCGGAGGGTGAATTTTGCGGATAAGAGGTTCGATGATAAAAATGGAAAAATGAGATGGGGGATATTGGGTGGACGGCGGGAGGGAGAGTTATTTCGAGGGGATATGTGTGGTCTTTCCGAGTCCCTTTCATGGCCCTCACATTTTCCATCTATCGCAGTATACGGACCCTCATTTCGATGAAACAACAATAGGAGGAAATACGTAAGCCCTCGGATATTGAGTCATCTCAGATGCTTTTTTTGTCTCTCCCTGAAGTATTCTCAGGAGCCAATACAAATGATCGAACTTCGCGGTTTGAATTTCTTCTTTTTTTTTAATAAATAAACTTCGTTTCATGAATTTATGTAGTCGAAAAATTGAAATGTCGGATCAAAGTTACAAAGTAGCTCTTGGTGGAGGCAAAAAATCGAAGGCGAATAAACTCTCGGGTAAAAAAAAAACGAGACAGCAGTGTTAAAGCGTGGGAAGTTGAAAAGTTTGCCGACGGTGAACTCGACGAAACTTTACGTCAGGCGACATGGGACTCCAATGAGAATGAAATCGAAAGCCAACACACCCTTCACAAACTACCGAATTTATTTATCTGAAAAACAGGGGCTTTGATTTCTACCATTGGGATTTATTCATGCACTTGGCAGGCGTCAAAGGTAATCCGACGGTCAAAAAATAGAGTATGAAATGTGGAAGGAATAGGATTTTAAATTGCCAACGGAGAAATTGGGATTGGACCGAAAAACGTAAAACAGTTCTTTATTAGTTCGCAGAAATTTATGAAAAAGAAAAAAAAATGAGAATTAAACCGAAAATAACAACTCGTTTCCTCAATTCATTCTTCCGTCGTATGCAAATTTTTTTTGAAACCGTAAAAAATACCAGGAAACTCCCCCGGGGGCTGAATATTTCCCCATTTTCCAGCTGCACTTCTTGCTCACTCGCAGAGAGAAGTAGAACGTTTGTAAATCTCAAGGAGGGAATTTACTTCAGAGAGGGAACGAGACAAGATACAGTTTGAATTGTTGTGCAGTTCATTTTCCCCCGGTGTATTTCATCAGCATTTCTTTGTGCTGATCCTCAATTCTCTCCCTGAAAAACCTTTTCACTACAACATTCTGATTCATGCCACCTATCAAACCGACAATAGGTCTAATGACGAGACCCAGGATTATTCCCCTGGAGGATCAAATATTTTCCCATTTTATTTCTTTTTCTGATTATTCATTCAGGTTGGAGTGTGTGGTTAATGCACTTTGTCGTGGTTTGAGTAATGCATCGGCCCACCTGGCGCGACTGGTACTCGACATGAATCTGTCCGGTGAACAAGTCAGTAGAGTCTGTACAGCATTGCGCGATTGCGTCCAAGTGCAGGCACTGCACTTGCCCCATTTGAGCTGTGGTTGTGAAGGTCTTGCATCGGTTGCTGAACTACTCAAGGAGAGGCCACTTCTAGCACTCAATCTAGCTGGAAGCTGGGGAGCCAAAAACGAGGATCCATCCAGCTCTGGAATCAGCATGGGTAATTGCTTAAAAAAAATTCCCTCCCCGCCAAATAAATATCCAAAAATTGTGCCAATTAAATTCACGAGTCGTTGAAAAAATCGCAAGTGATCGGGAATTGAATATATCTTTTTTCCAATCGAAATTCCTCAGGATTGAAATGGCGAGAAGTCTAATTAATGCATCGAATCATTCTCGGAGTCTCGATATCTCCCGAACCAACAGAAATTCAATATTCGCTCCATTCATTTTATCCTTGAACTCATCATTTTTTTTTCTCTCGTTCTCAATAACCATCACAAATCTATCACGTCACGACTGAATGGGCTGGTGTTGCCTGATAAAATCGATGCGAATCATTCTGCAAACGATGAAAATTCCTGAGAAATAGTTTCCCCGAATCTCTCACTGCACTCGGGCATTAACGACCTCTCGCCATTAAGCTAATTGCCACTGCACCATTGCACTTAATGTTATTTCATTTTTACTGTCATTAACATATTCCTCGGGGAAAATTATCCATCGCACACCGAAACTATTTCCACAATTATATTCTAAAAAAATATCCATTCTCTTTCATTTCTATATCAAATCGAAATGAGCTCAATCAGTTTTTCTCCAAAATTTTATTTCTATTTAAAAAAAAATCAAAATCTCGGTGTGACTAATTATTGGGGGAATCCCCAGAATTTCTCGTGCGAGTGGATGGATTTTCCGGTATTCCACATCGAAATTGGGGAATCGAGTCACGGAAACCTCCGGTGGTATCGATAAACGTTTGGACTAGATAATGAAAATGTAACAATTTCCCCAGGATCTGGTTCCGGTTCGGGCAGCAGCGGTTGTGCATCGAGTACACTTGGTACTCTACCTCTGAACAATCGTTGTTACTCGTCTCTCCCACGTGGTGCACTTGCTGCCTACGGTAGTCTCACAAGACCTGCGACACTTCCACGTTTACCACTTGGCATTGGTCTTGGTACCAGTGGAAATGGTAATGGTACATTGCCGCAGAACGATCGAGACAGGGACAGCAGCAATGGCAGCTCCAAGAGAAATAGTGATAGTGTACTGTGCCATCGTTTACCTATGCATCCACTACCAACTTGTGATGTTGCCTGCCACCAGGGAACGGGCTTTCACGAAATTTTCAACGCCATAAGGTGAGATAACATCCAGAATATTCAATCCATGAAAATTATCAACACTCCATACACCTTAATACTCATTCTCAATTTAATATTATTCATCTCAATTATCAACTCAACGAATTTTCAATTTTTACTCAATTCACTGCATAAATCGATTAAATAATTTTAAATCAGAGACAACAGGCAGATAAAATCGAGATAAAAATATCGAATACACATAGTAATTGTTGGAATTATCCATAAATATTCGAGTACTTAATGATTTCATTCGATATCGGCCCTGAAAAAAAAAATCCCGCGATTAAAATAGCAACGGACGTAACTCGTTTTGAATATTGGAAACTCCAGTACTTGGATGAGTGTACAATTTTAATTAAAAACGAGCTTCCAGCGAGTGCTCAACGCTGCACCAATAGAAAATATAAAAACTTGGCATCTGAATATACATCATTTTATTTTTCTGTCACTCTATTTTCCTGGGAAGAGCCACGACTGACGTCTGTCCGACGAACGCGACATTTAATATTTGTCCTGCTGAGTTAATTGAAAAATTATGCAGCCTCTCGAATAAATGACAATATAATGGCACTGGGAATAAAAAAATCACGAGGAGTGGTGAGAAAATTTCAGACTAGGAAGGGCTTTTTCTGGTGGAAAATCGCCATTTAGGTCAGCATATTACGGTATCTGGGGCTAGTCTGCGTGATTTGCAAAAAAGGGGTCGTTATTGGGTAAAAGGGTAAAGAGGGTGACTAAAAAATTGTTCTGATTACTAGGGGAGAAAAAGACGAGGGGCCGGTATCGAAAAGTTGATTTTCGTGAAAAAAAAAAAATTCGCTAAACAAAACTTTCCCATTTTTCTTTTCTATTTTTGCAAATAGAAACACAAGCAAATAAAAACATTATCAAAAAAATTGTAGTGAATGCTTGAAATCATTGAAACAATTGAAATGGCAATTACTCAGCCATTGATTTTTCAATATTTCAAACTCAAATGGACATATTTCTCTGGAAAGAGTAACGGATTAAAAAGTTAAGGGATTCCCCGCAAAATCTTCATCCTCCTGTCTGATGTACTTTATTTTTTAACTCGACACTTTTTTTTTACCCTTTTTTCCCTTCGAGAGATGGAAGATACACGTTGTAATGACCTCCGCCGTCTGAGTTTTCCCCGAGTGCTTGGACTCGTGGATTTGCTCTTCTTGCTGTACGACAAAAGCTTTCAGCTTGCTCGGCACAACGGCTCCACCTAATTATCTCTCTCCACGTACTCCATATATTTTTTTGTTTTGCCCTCTTTTTTTTTTATTATTTCTTCCACTGGGCTTCACCGTATTCTTATCCCCCGGGAATTCTAGATACGTGGAAAACTAGTGAAACTCGATTTACACTTTTACATTTTAATAAAATTTATATCAACCCCATTGTTGGCGATGAGAAAATGCTGAGACGTGGGGTAATTGGACGTTCTAAGTTGCTCCTGGAATTTTTATCACCGGCAATAGACCGAGAAAAATACCTATTATTTTTATCAACCCATTACCACACAAGTCGTGAAACTCGAATTTCAGTTCTTTAATTCGGTTTATATTATTTTCAATCTGGTTTATCCAAGAGCTTCCACAAGAAATTCAATGAAAAAAAAAAAGAAAAAATCTAAACGACAAATGGAGCCGAAAGAAATTCCCTCTGAATTTACGATCTAGAATATTTTCATCTGTTATTTCCTCCACTCCCAGAGATGCAAATTGTTGTAACTTAATTCCTGAAAAACAGTTCCTGGAAGAACCGTAAAAGTTATGAATTCAAATAGTCCAATTTACTCGTAAATTACAAATATTTACACTCCATAAAAATTCCTCGGAGAGATCCATTAGCGAGAATTACCCCAGTCTATCGAGAAGTTCTGCATCACGATAAAAGACAATTGCCCGAGGGAGTAGTCTATATCCTGAGAACTTAGTTACACTGTCTACCAGACAGTGAGACAGACAGGGATCGATACACGATAGTCTATTCTTTGGATTTACCGGTGTTTCAGAGAGCAAAATTGCAAGCTGAGATCCCTGAACGTCTCCAAGTGCCTCCAGGGTGGTCTAGATGCTGGTTGTCTCGGTGAGACAATCAGACGAGCAAAAAACTTGGATGCTGTGAGGGCGGCTGGTGCCTCAAGGCCTGTAGACGTTATGCCACTGGTACTAGCACTTACTGAAGCACCTTGTCTACAATTACTCGATCTAGCGAGTCCACGACTAGCCATGGACGATCATCCCTCGAGATTACTCTGCCATGCACTCGCCAGGAACTCCACATTACGATTATTGAGCCTGGAGGGATGGACTTTTAGAATTGAGGTAAAAATTTCATACAATTCTACACAAAAAAAATTCTATTCCACCAGTTAAATCGATTTACCTCTCGTGAATCTCAACACTAAATTCTCATTCTACTATTTTTACGCGAATAAGTACTAAAAATACTAAACAAAACGCTTTGACACTGAGCGACTCATTAAAATCGGCTTCACACCGCCAAATTTCCATTTCCCATTTTTTCATCGTGTGAGAATGAAATTCATTTCTCGTCTCGTTATCTTTGAGGGGAATATATTTGAATAAAGAATATTTAGGAGGGATGAATAATTGTTTTCAAATGACAAAATGTTAAATGAAAAATGGTGAATCCCTGAGTGTCCATGGTAAAATCTTAAATCCCTTGTGAACGAAACTTTTTCATCGTTCCCTCGCGACCCCTGCAATATCGTGAGGGATTACATCCCGCGGAGAAACAATATCCGCAAGCAAACGACGTCCAGACGTAGACTAATGGAAAACTGAGCCGTTAGCAAGCTCATGTAAATCGCGTTACCCGAGCAAATTCACTATCGTGCGTGACACACTCCGACTCCTCATCAAGAATATTCCGTAATCGAGAGATTTCACACTTGAAATTATTTCGCGATAATTATCCCCGGGAAATCTCTCCCCCCTCGCTCCACCAAAAATAAAACAGTTCAGTGACTAAATCCCGAGACTAATCCCGAAAAATGAAGAACTGATATTTGAAAATGAAAAAGGTAAGTCTCGGAAAATAAAAAGTTTTATCTCAGAGCTCTTGGCGTGTTGTCTTGAGGGAATTTCGAGATTTCTTTCAACTTTATTCTTTAAAATCGACTTCTCAGCAGAAAGCATTGTTACACACATCCGTCGGGGATATATACAACAGAGAATGGGAGTAAAGTGAACAGCACTCCTCAATTACCACGTTCTCAACTCGAGAGAGATATTCCCGAGTTTTCGGGTTTTCCATTCCCCCGGGAGGCCGCGGGTGAGCCTGGGTTATGCCACTTGGAATTTCGATGGAAAACTTTGGAATTATTACACCAAATATCACGGATCCGCTGTCCCAAGTTTCTCATTGAATTTATATCGGAATTCATTGGATATATTCATTAAAACTTGCAGCAACCATTTTAATTTATTTCATAAATATCTTCCATTATTTGGATTACCACCAATTACAATACAACATGATACTCCACGTAATTATTCCCATTAATTAATGATAAATCGATTAAATGATCTCAATGCGTAGTCTGGAAAAATTGTAGTGCTTTCACGATTGTCTTCAATTTACAGGAGTCTGATACGTTATCAGTGTTCTCGGAGTTGCTGACTTGCACTAGTGTACGTGAATTGAGCCTGTGCAATGCCCGTCTGCATTTAGCTGTTCACGAGGGTCCACTCTCGCGATTAGGTAGAAGAGACGATGCTGGTGCTGAACTGCTACGTGCAGCACCACCACCCGCTTGTCCCACCATAGTTTTCCTCCGTCTGGCAGGATTTCAAGTGAGTATATCCCCACAACCGATACCCAGAGCTTTCGAGTAAATAGTCCTCCCTCGAAACAGCCGGAACAGTATTAAACTCTCCTACTCCAAAATCCATCGATCTGCCCCAACTTCTATTATTCCCAGAAATTCAACACTTCATCCTGAAAAATTCTCTCAGTATTCCTAGAATCCTCAGTTCTCACTGCTCAATTTTTTTTCCACATAAAAAAATATCGAAGAGCAATGGAAACTCCTGGATTATGAAATTTCGTAATTAGTCGATGGTTGGACAAAGGAGAGAACGAATTGGTGCATGACACAACAGATAATCCCTTCATCCCCCTGAAGACTTATCCACAAGTTTCTACCCAACACACGAGAGACTTCCTAATGCCACTGTATTCCAAACAATTCGCCATTCCATCGCATTGCGTTCAATTAATTCCTACCCTGGGATTCTGAGTCACGTGTTCAGTATCCTGACGCAATACTGACTGCAGCCCCACGGGAAATCAATGTGAAGAAGAGGAGTTTGACGTTTATATTAAATCACAGTGAATATATATATTTTTTCTTGTATTTTCTCGACTCCAGGTATCAGTTAATGACAGACTTGCACTACGGGGACCCCTTCTACTTCCCTTCTTGACTGGATTTACAGCCCTGAGTGAGCTAGACCTCTCCCTGGATAAATCAGAGATAGGAGGTAGCAGTGGATCCCTTCTCTTCATTGACGACAAAATTCTCCAGCAATTTTTCACATCACTATCGATCCACCTCAAGAGTCTTCAAACCCTCAAGATTAATTACTGGAGGATCAACCTGGAGGACACCGATAAGACGATGAGACAAATATCGAAACACATCAAGACAACAAATATCAGTTTTGTCAAGGCTAATGGATTAATTGTCACTGACAGCGTCAAGAGACAACAGGTGGAGCATCTTTTTGTACAAACATTGCTCGGTAATTTGCAATGGCTGACGTGGCTGTGCATCGATGGTGTCAAATTAACCGAGAGCCAGTGCACCAGCATCGGTAAATGGATAAAGGAGCGTTATCCTGGGGTTCTCCTCGAGATAAGTGCTAAGGACATTCAGGTCAAATCTATTAAGGCTCTTGTTGCTGCTGTTGAAGAGGGAGGTAGAGCTGACGTTGGTTACATCGGGGGGTCAACTTGTCGAATTAAAATTAATAAACTTCAGAAAAATTCCAAGACCAAGAAGAAGTGAGAGGGAATCGGTGGCGAAATATCTATTATTCACTGAGATACTCATGAATTAATCCAGATACTCTGCTTCGATCTTCATTATTTTTCTCATTCGACTCGAGGAGTTGGGACTATCATTTGTAAATAATGAGATTAATTTCAGGTTGGTTTACTCATTTTTATTGATTTGCCTAATTTTCGTACGTTCTTTGTAGATTTCAGGTTTTATTTTTTTAAATCCATTTGGCTGATATGTTATTTGATAAAATAAATGATATTCGATGAGGCTGTTACAAGTATAGACTATTGTTGCTAGATGGGGGTGTAAAATAAGATAAACTTGAGGGTAAATTATGAGAGGAGAGTAATATATACGATATATGAAGAATGTCTAAGAAATACTCGAGCAATAGCTTTATCCGTGAAATTGTTGGGAATTGAAGAAATTTTATGGTATTTTTAGTGTATAAAATAATTTTACGAGGTACTTTACACAATAATAAAAACCTTCAACTGCCAAATAAATGAAAGACAATGTTAATGAAGATAAATCGTGAAATATCGAGGGAAATGAATATCACCACCATCAACACTTGTTAGTATTCCATAATAAAAAAACTAGATTTTATGAATTCCCATTGAGAATTTAATTTTGTAACTATAATTTATCAATTTGTATATTAGACTTGGATTCTGCAATTGTTTTTCGTATTGTAAATAATCGATAAAAATTGTCAGTAAAATAATAAAATCATGATATTCCATTAATCTAGTAGAATGTATCGTGACTAAAATTGTTATTAGGATTCCCTCCGAGTGTTTTTATCATTAAATATTTATGTATTTATATGTGTGCACATATCCATGGGAAAAAATAAATGTCATATGTGTTTGAATAAATATTTCCGATTGACCCACGATGAATGAAAAATCGTGGACACTTGGAATAAATTAAACAGACCATATAAAACCGTAATATTTTATTGTTCTACTTATTCATGATTATGTACATTAATTAATCAATAATCCTCTCATCCTACGCCTCAAATATAATAAAGACTTTATTTAAAAAACTGGTGATTCATCGGATCACAAAAATAATTTATGATTCACGTTCACAATACAAAGTATTTGCACACAACACTTGGAAAAGTTTTCACCTCTGGCCTCAATCCACTCTCCAATGATAGAGTACAGAGACTTGGCTGTCCCTGAGTCACAGTTTGGAATGTCCAATTACAATAATGAATTATTTTTCAATTTAGGTACACTCTCAAATGCATGAATGGAAAGAGAAAAATGAAAAATGCATTATCAGCCCATCACCCCTCGCATAAAAGTAAAAATATTCAACAACTATTCATCAAGTTTCAGACACTCCATCAATCATAAACTCCCAGTCGTCACAGGGATTTGGCAGTACTCACCTTAGGCGTACCTCAACAAAAAAAAAAGTGATGTCTTACAAAAATTGTATTTACACTGGAATTCGCATACTGGATGAAAAAAGAAAAACTAAATTATTGACCAAAAGAAAATCCTGGAGAGTAGTTGCAAATAATTTAGTAAAGTGAGTCGATAAATCGATAATCAATTGAAAATTGAATGCCTGTCTTCACCACTTGACCGAATAAATTCTCCAGGCCTTCCAGTGCCCCCCAGGAGCTTCTCCAGGAGTATACATCCCGAGGTCCCTCAGAACCCCCTCAGGAACTCATCTCCCTCCCCCTCGGATCACGTATGCGTGTAATCCAGCTGGACAGTGAGATGCCGGACACCAGCAGCATGAAATATCATCTGTGTCTGTGCCAGTACGTATTTAGCATCGACAGTCCTGGCAACCTCGAGCTTGAGACTTCCCACATAAATATCAGAGCACAGAGTCCAGAAGTGTGGCTCCTGGACATCATAGACACCACTGAGGTTCTTAATTCTATTGTAGCATTGAGGTAGAAGATGATCGAGTGCACCAGGCTGCCTCTGCATGAGAATAACCCCAGACTCCATGAGAAGTGATCCAACGCTGATAATAATAAGGAGAGCAATGAACATGGAGCAGATGGGATCTGCAATCATCCATCCGAACAGGTGCATGAGAACAGCTGAGACGATTACCCCAACCGAGCCCAGAGTGTCAGCGAGAATGTGGAGGAAGACACTCTTCATGATCTGAGAATTTCCAGAGGACGAGGACTCGAATTCCACGTCGTGGTGATCATGCCCGTGCCCTCCATGACCACCATGACCACCATGACTGTGATTATGATTGTGGGAGTGACCATGACCCCCATGTGAGTGACCATGACCTCCACCACCGTGGGAATGCCCATGGCCATGCTGGAAGGCGTAAATTCCCACTAGATTCACCAACAGACCCAGCACAGACACCACAAACAGCCTCTCGTGCTTCACCTCTGGCGGCTCGATTGCTCTCTCTATCGCCTCAAACATTATGAATCCTGCGATGAACAGCAGGAATAATCCATTGACGAATCCTGCGAGAACCTAGTGAAAAAAAATGGAATAGGATTAATTGGGAAAGAAATTCATTAATTTTTTTCAATAATATCTCCTTTGAATGAACGACGAACCTCTGCCCTGACGTATCCATAAGAGTAACGATCGTTGGCTCGCCATTTCGTTATGACGGAGGCGATGAGCCCGAAGATGAGACCAGTGCAGTCGAAGAACATGTGGAAGCTGTCGGAGATGAGGCCCAAACTGTTCGTCCACATGCCCCAGATCAGCTCGACGAAGGCGAATGAGAAATTCAAAAGGAGAAAGAGGAAGAGATTTCTCGTATTTTTATCAGAGAAGATTAATCGAGTCCAGCCGTGAATTCTCTCCTTTATTCTGCTGCCGAAACTCCGGGAGTCCTTGTGCGTTAAGGGAAGCATGATGGAAGGTGATGTGTCTTCGTGATCTCGAGGTTCTGAAAAACGTGCAAATCATTTTTTAAGCTCCTGACGAGGTACGTGCCGAACTTTACGTATTTATCAATGTTTTGTCAAGATTAATTCGATAATTATCGACAACTACTCACGAATCTACAGAACATTCACTTCGACGGAACGATGAAAAGTAAAATGATCATGAATTTAATTGGGGAATCCTTTCCTTCTGGATGCTTTGTTTACTTTAGATAAGGGAAATACTGAGAAAATATTGACTGAAGCACGAAATGTGACGTTAAATGAGTCAATTAAAATGATAATAAAAATCAATGGAATTATCGACAGCTCCTGAAGATTTTCCAGGAGTTTTTAATGAAAAAAAATTAAAAATCAAAATGAATGAAGATAAAATCACCGAGAAAACGGACTAGAGTAAACGAAAAAAATTCTCCCATTCCCCGAATAATTAAACAAACCCAATGAAGCATGAAATCGAAATCCATACCATATTGCCCCCCATTCCATCCACCCCTCCGCTTTAATTACCCCCCTAAACGTCCCCCACCGCTTCAGTAATTATTTTAACGATTTCCCGAACAATAAAATCAAAAATCGAACGGTGTCCTCTTAATTGTCACGAGTGACACGTATACGTCAATGACAGGTTAAGAATTCCCCGATTCCAGACAAATACCTTTTAAATCCTCCAACAGTCAGAAACAGCTGTCAACTATCCACTGAACAATCCTGACACTTTCCTTTACTCCCTGAACACGGATCCTCTCATGATTTCGTTAATTACCCAGAGTAATGAGCTTTCGGATGGAATAATACACTGGGTTAACCGCCATGTCTCCCCATGGTCGAACACGCTTCACGGCTTCAGCCCAAAGAGGATTAATTAAAGTAAAGGCTCAGTTCTGGGGGTTTGAGTGACCCCAGGTGCATTGTACTACCTCACCCCAAGAGAGAGAGGGCGCCACACGCAATGCGCTGGCGTGTCTGGCCGTCAGCCGACTCGGTAACTGCCTCAGTAGCAGTCGCGCTGTCAGAGGGACCAGTTGAGCGGGTGAGTGTTACTTTCTGCGTTAGAAAATTGGTTTCTGTTTTTTATTATAACATTTCCATACTCGCCTGATACTTGTTCAAAAATTTTGAATTGTCGAATTTCCGTAAATACCTCCTCAATTC